ATATAGAAATCATGACTCTTACAAAGAAGTTCCGGGTCGCGCAGAGAGGCATGTAGAGAGCAATGCTCAGAGTTACCCTGCGAGACAGAAAAAGCAACGCTTGGATGCGAAATAGGGCCAAAGTTAAAGATGTCATGGCTGTCGTAGCGAAGAAAGGCTGGGCGGGGCACATTGCGAGAATGGACGAGAGGCGCTGGACAGCGCGAGTATTCAAGTACGCGGAGACCCAGGGCGGACATTAAACCACCGCAGCGCTGGATGGACGACATCCAACGACACGGAGGTCGGGACTGGGTGAGTCAGGCACAAGATCGCCAAGAGTGAAAGAAGAAAGAAGAGGCCTACGTCCAATATGAGATAAGAAAACGGCCGCCATGATGATGATGAAATCAATGGGGCCTGCAAAGAGACCGAAACGTTGGTTTTTTTTTGAAGAAACAAATAAACGCGATTTGGATCCGAAAAAATTGTTTCAAAATATCTTGCAGTTGTTTTTGTTGTTATAAATTATGCTGTCGTTTGTTGTAATTAAATGTTTTTTCTCTCTTCTTCTGTCTTTCTAAACTTTAGTACGTGATTTCAAAACTCTAGCGGAATGTTTGTCTTTCGGAAATACCGGTAAAACCACATGTAAATCGAGTTCTTAGGTTTTCGCGATTGTTACACATATGGTGTAACAATGATGTCAACCGTGACCATGGGACCTGGAAAGGGCCCGAAACGTCGATTTGTTTGAAAAAACAAATATACGCGATATAAATCCGGAAAAATAGTTTCATTTCCTACACATATAAATCATTTTTTTAAAGTGTTGTAATACGTAAATACCCAAAATCCGATAGCTTATGACACGATATGTCAATACTCACATTACCAAGAAACAACGTGTTATAATTTATTTACATCCACAAGCGATTTGAGTACTTCAAAAGGAAAATTGTAAGAAAAATATAGCAGCCAATGCGCCAACATATTCTTATAAATGAGACTTGGCCTGTAAATTTATAAAACTAATATAAATTGTTACAAATATAGTCGTACCTCCATCGTCATCCATCACAGGGTTGAATGCTCGCCTCAGAGTATCCATTTCTTGCAGAACTATTTTAGAATCAAAAGCTGCATTGCGATAGAACGCGAATGATTTTTGCGCTTCCTGAAAATCACATTTTACATCAATAAAAAAGTATAATTTTTGCCATTCATGGACCTATGCTTTCCCACAGTCGCTTCAATGCAGTTACTTCAATTCAGTTCAACCAGGAACAATAAGATAGCAATTATTGCAATTATGATGTGACTAGTTTATCCTTAAGCAGTACTTCTAATGGCATTTAGCAAGATCGCCAATCTCGGATAGACTAGAACAGATCAGGAAACTGCGCCTATAATCTATTAAGCTAACACGACTAGAGCTCTAACCAGTATTTTAATGGATGACCTATAACAAGTTCGGATTTCATTATGACACAATGGACAGAAAGCCACAGTTTACAGGTATGAAGTAAAGGGTGGAACATCTCAATGTACCGAGGTCATTTCCCAGGAAAACGTTAATATTCCTGAAAGGCCTTAAAGGCAGTGCATCTTTTCACTCACATCGTTGCACTCAATAGGCGCTACGCATGTAAAGATCTCCTTTATCGTCATCCCACCTTTTTATTATCCTCATTTTTGGTTCCTGGCCATTTATTTTTTAAATTTTGAATTCCCTAATTCCCGAATTCCCTTTTTCTTCACTATTCTTACGTTTGTTATATCCGTTGTCACTCCCATTAAAATTTTTGTAACGATAAAATGTGCCCATAAATCACAAGTCTCCTTCATTTCCTTATTCTTGAAGATGGCGTCGATTAGTATTACAATTATTTAGTTATATAGACCTTTCTGAACCTTCCTTTTCTTCTTTTATCATCTCTTACATTAAGGCTAGGCTACACGTATCATGTTAAGGAAACCATTCTACATTACCATCCTATGTCACAAAAGGTAAATTTGGAGTATATGGTTGATCTACAGACAAAGCGAGACTTTTTAAATATCCTGTCTTCGCACTTCAAATGGATTCTATATGGTAATTAAATTTTATAAAAAATACATTTGTTTACTCTTCGATAAATGGATTCTCAGAACAGGCGATACTGCTAAATAAGGACATGCAATATTAAATTTAAAATAAAGCAATGCTACCCCGTATCTCATATACCCCATGTAGTCTAGAAACACGACTGTAAGACTTATTATTAGTAATATAAGTAAAGAAACTAAACTAAACCTTACCTTGTCCATTCCTTTCTTCATCAAATATAAAGGAGTTTCTCTCAAAAACAACAGCATAATAACCCCCAAAATAGTCAAAGACAGGCAAATGTACACCATAAGTTTGTATTCTAAATACCCTCCCAAAACATATGACGCTAGCATTCCAATACCATAGAAAATCATAGAGGACGACGTCATAGTGCCTCTTATTGATTCTTGGCAGATTTCTCCGACGTAAACCGGGACCACTAAGACGACTGCCCCGCCAACTCCCGACAAGAAAATGGCGACCAGTATTGCTTCTACTTTTATGCACGTCGTTATTATTGTCCAGGCGAGCTGTTGATGGAAAGAAGAAAGATTAATTGATTTATTAAAATATTACAAACATATGATTGCGTCACAAATACAACCATTCGCTCTGAAATTAAAATCTGCGCAAAACAACTGCACCGAATTGTTGTTGGACGGAGCAGAGGAAACACCAAACGTTGGTCATGTGCCACGACTTGGATACCAGAAAACGGAAACTAAATGGAGACTCTCAAAACAAAAAAGACGGCGCATCGATGCCATTATGCACAACGTGCACATTGTTTAAGTTCAACGTTCACAGAGATAAACTGCCCTTTGTGACACTCAATTTATTATCACTTCGTAATGGATACATTGCAATGCCTCTTTCTCGATGTCGGCATTACGCAAACGGTGAAAATGGATGCACACAACGATAATCCGAAGCTTAGAACATCAAGACAGAGGTTCGTTTCTTTTCCTTTACAGTTGGGCCACCAATTTACTCATAAATTGCCTGTTGTTGTTTAAGAGCGAGTAGTAATAGGTGCAATTATGTGGTGCTGAATGCATCGTTATCGACCCATATATGTATTACTATGCGGTGATCCCCTCTAGGGAAAGAGGGTAGACCAAGGTCTACCACCAAGGAACCAGGGTCAACAAAGCGAGATTTCATACGTCCTTTTCGAAATGCAAGCTTCATTGCTTTGTTTTCCGTCAGCTTTATAAGAAATGATGATAATCAGGAAACTAATATGCTTACTAGTTACAAACGAGGACTTGTCAACTTATGTCTCAGGGTGACGGGCGCAATGGCAGTACCCCTTAGCTCTTTGCGATTTAAAGCTTTGAGTGGCACTGCAACTGTTATGGACAGGCGTATAGTTTACCATCAGACGCACGACTTGTTCGTCCCGTCACTTGATATTATAATAAAAAAAGCGAACGGAAAACAGTGCTGCTTATTTTCTTACCGCTATAGTCTCCCACTTTAGTCTACTTTAGTGCCAATTTTGGTAGTAGATTTCACATTTTCGTTGTAAATTTTGAAAGACGTCGAAAACTTAGAACTTGGAAGTAACATGTAATACTTACCACGCTCATCAGACCGGCCGCCATAGCGCAGTACTTTCGTCCAATGATGTCCAAAAATATACCAATTGGTGGAGTGCCGACCAAAGCACCAATGGAAGACAGGCTACCAAAAAGAGCAATTTCTGTTGGTCCCATTGGTCGCTCCAGGGTGGTGTTATCAGATTGAAATAATCGCATGGTTGAAGATGGCCAGGCGTAGGATAGACCAAGGATGAAGCACAGAAAGCTTGCTGTGAAATTGATACAAGGTTAATTTTCGTAGCCATTATAATAACACTTAAAGAACTAAATAGGTAATGTGGTAGGCTTTACCATATCATGTGAAGAAAGATTGTAGGAAGACAATAAACATAAGGTTTCATTGAGGTAAACGGTTTAAGATATTTAACCATTGTAAGTGTCTCATCTTCGCTTTGATTGATTTAGTGACCATTTCCTACTATAGTCTCTTTTTAACACCTTATTAAGACTTATACTTGAGAAAAAATTAATAAGAACGTAAAGATGTCATCACAATGTTTTCCTTGGTGAATCTTGAAGTACTTGGAAGAGACCGGGAAGACCGCATGACCGCAAAAGTATTAAAACAACGATAAAACGTTATGCATCATCATAATATTATGCGGGAAAAATAAAGTACAGAAACAAACGTATAAGTTGAATACAATAAATTAATTAAATAATAATTGAAATTACACTTACCAATTAACGTGCAAATAATTTGATTCAAGATCCCCATTTTCACTTATTTTTTAGCTTTCTAAATAATATCCTTAATAGTTAAAACTCTTTCTAAATAATCCACTAAAGACTGAGTTACAGAGATTATTGTCACTCTATTTTTAACTCCGTCTTCTTTAGCGAGCTATTTTATTCCGTGTCGTAACGTTATTCGTTTAACAATGACGGACAGAATGATTACTGTCCTCTTATGATAAAGTTATAGCAAATACTATTAAAGAGATGTAATCGAGTAATCCACGAGAATCTTGTTGACTCTTATTGCCTGAAAACAGAATGCAAATATTGTAAAATGTGAACCACGCGATGAAACTTTTAACGATTTCACAACATTTTACTGTAGGTACAGTAAATGTTTCTATGTATATAAATTTACCATGACATTTCCTTATTTAAATAATATTACGCCTATCTCGCAATGACTTGGCAGATACTAGTACTTGATCACCTACTGCTTGGTCTCTGACATACGTCTTTCGTCTACTGTTTGTACTTTTGACCTGGGTCTTTTTTGAGAACATCTACGTTACCCAACCACGGAAGCATTACCTTTTCTGTCTTAGTCACTATTATCTTTTTTTTTACCCCAACGCTCCCTTATCACACGTGTTCTCATTTTGTCTCTAAATCTTTTTTCATGCCTTTTTTCAATATCGAACGTTGAGTACCGTACACATTGACTTACAATTATATGGACGTCGTCGGGTCCGCGCTAAAAAGTGTCCGAACTTATAGGGCGTTAAAATCATATACAGAGCGACATTCACGCTTTAGTCTTCGTTTGTTCGACTGACAGCGAAGCAAGCAAAATTAGACAGTACTGCGATGACATTACAATTTAAATTCAACGTTTTAGCTTTATCGTATTCCTTGACATGTCACTACGTTTAAATAGGTTGACTTGGGACATTTTTTTGTGGTTTTTGTATTAGACCCGTCGTCCATTTATTTGTAAATCAATGACCGTACATTAGGGCCTTTGACATAGTTCTAATAATGAATAAATGTGTAAATACCAAGGGATCTGTAAAGAACCCATTGGTTCATTTGAAAAAATATATATACATTTCTTAGGTTTTCGCGATTGTTACACATACAGAGGAAATGAAACTATTTTTCCGGATTTAAATCGCCTATATTTGTTTTTTTACACAAAGCAACGTTTCGGACCGTTTACAGATCTCATGGTCACGATTGACTGAAGTAGTACAGTCATCAACCAGTTATGTCTAATATTAATGCAGACATATACACTGTTTAGATCTAATAAGAAGAGAAAAATAGTTTCACTTCTAGTTTTAATAATGATTTAAAGAGAATAGTGTCCAAAATGTATAACCATTAATCCAAATGTATACCACCATTGATGTGGATATGTAAGCGTGTTTTCTATCATCTACTTTTCTCATATCTACCGACAATAACGTTACTATGGCTTTGGTGTGTGTAATGTTCAAGCTAACGCCTGCAAAGAATTGGTAGCAGTAGAAAATTACTGCCATCGTAACTGATATGAGTAAGGGAGCTGGTAAAACTACAGGCACATAGGACTTGTCAACTTTATGCATATTATGCATTGACTTACAAATAAATGGACGACGGGTCTAATACAAAACCCACGAAAAAAATGTCCCAAGTCAACCTATTTAAACGTAGTGACATGTAAAGGAATACGAAAAAGCTAAAACGTTGAATTTAAATTGTAATGTCATCGCAGTACCGTCTAATTTTGCTTGCTTCGCTGTCAGTCGAACAAACGAAGACTAAAGCGTGAATGACGCTCTGTATACGATTTTAACGCCCTATAAGTTCGGACACTTTTTAGCGCGGACCCGACGTCCATAAAATTGCAAGTCAATGATATTATGTATGTTAGACGAAATACTTTCATAGATTTCTCAAAGATGGCGCTACGGTTAAAAAGTCGTTGGAAACCAAGTACAAAGATCCGACATACAAGCACATAGCGTCTGGCACGGTTTGTTAGTCAGTTTGAATGAAAGGAATTTTTTCTAAGTGTTCGATATTTGTATTAATAATTTATTTGAAAAATTTTCTTTGCGATTTAAACTTTGAGTGGCACTGCGATTGTTAAAAATGCGTCTGTCGCTTACTACTAGGCGCACAATTGGTATCATGGAGCTGGTTATTTCAACTGTTTCAAAGATCTTGATGTATAGTAGGGAAGGTTACATGTTAAAGATGGATCTCTACGATAGGGCAAATAACGTAGAAATGAAAACATGAGTATGTGAGGTGTTAGAACAGAATGACAAGAAAGTGCAAAGTGTGAAAGACGATATAGTAACTAAGACAAAAAAAGTAGGTAGTTTAGTAGGTTTGGTAAAGTCGAAGGGAAGAAAGCGGAAAATTTGACCTCGGTGTCATAGCTCAACCAGACAAGGATGAAAAAAGTGTTTGTAAAGGTACCAAGGCTTAAAAACGTAAGTACGAAAAAACGAAGGCGATGACGAGAAATATAATCAGAACGTAGCTAGTAGAGTGAAATTACTTTTTTTTATAACATCAAGTAACGGGACGAACAAGTCGTGCCCCTACACGCCTGTCCATAACAGTTACAGTGCCACTCAGAGCTTTAAATTGCAAAGATCTGAAGGGTACTACCATTGCGCCCGTCACCCTGAGGAATAAATTGACAAGTCCCATGTGGCTGTAATTTCAAAACCCTTCAAAACCGGAAAACAGTAATGCTCACGTTACTGCTTGGCGGCAGAAATAGGTAAGGTGGCAGTACTTCCCTGGACGAACTCTTTTACAAGGAGCTCTACCTGCTGCTAATAACTAGAGTACCAACTTACAGAAGTAATAATACTTAATACTCGAAAACGATCTGCTTTGTACAATTTTGGAATCACTTGGAATCACACGTCTCTACTTGAATGTAGTAACTTTGGTGTTTATCACAAGATAAATTTACAAAAAAAATCTAGAACTAATTTGCCTACACAGGCTTTAATATTAATTATACTCTAAACATAGTTTCCCTACAAAGACGTCTTCAAAAGTCAGAGTAGGGAAGACTAATGTTGTTTAATTAATTGTCGCTATGGTTTTATCCTTTTTGCGTCAATTTTATTTAGTTTTCAACTTTATATGACGTCATGGAAAGTACATGACACTTGCGTTAGTTTATATCATTGCCGTAATTTCAGCTGAAAAACTGAACTTAGACCTCTTCCAAAGATCGCCGCCTATCGATCGCCGTTTTGCGCTGCTTGCATTCAGTGGATTCTTGCAACTTTCACCAGGTTATGGGTCCAATATGTGTGTGGTTTGCCCAGTATGCTTCGTTCGATACGCGATCGCTACTAGAAAACTCTTTGGCTTCATCGGTTATCTCCTCCACCTCCAATGAACATTACGCCAACTCTTTCTGTTATTTTTGTAAACATCCATATTTATTTACTAATATTATGCTCCCCAAATATTGTAAAAAAAAACAAAATTTGGAAAAAAAAAACAAAAAAACAAATTTTGTGCAAAAAATAAAATCTTCTTCTTGGCGTGTCGACTCTGACATTTATATTTGTGAGGACCAGTGCTTAGCGACTGAGATAGCATTATCAGTGTCGTTGTACAGGTCCTTGCGTGTGCAGGTGTGGGGACAAGCAGGGCAGGACAAAAGATGTGCCATTGTCTGAGGAGAGACACCACACGGACATGTACTTTTCTTCGGCCGACTTGGGTCCGCAGCCTATTTAGGGACTTCCAAGTTTGCCAAGGTAGAATATATTTAGGAGAGAGGTGTTCCGACAGCGGGATGAGTGACGCCGTGGGGTATCTCATAAATGTAGGCAATACAAAAATTCCCACCGGCCCAGGACCACCGGTCCGACCACGGAGGCAGAAAGCGCAGAGCTTTGAAATTGGCCCAGTGTTCATTGGACGTATTGGTCTGATCTGCAAGCAATGCCCACTGCCCACTACACAATGCAGGTTGGGTTCAGATGTTTTCACGTTTCCCCACGACATTTTCCGCTACAATTAACGGTAAGGTATTGCTGCTAAATTCACAAATTTATGCGTTAGAAATTAAGTCATAGGTTAAGTTGTCACAATACATTTATGAAAATAGAGGAATAGTAATTTCTTTGTGAAAAATAGTGACAGACATAACATTAATACGAGGAATAAAAATAAACTAGCTTTTCTTGATAGTCGTCTTCACAAAGTCAAAAAATCATTTAAGGGGCAATGTATACGCTTCTATAACAAGATTCCGGTTGATATACAAAATTTGCCTTTCACGAGGTTTAAAACTATAGTGAAACAAAAACTTTATACTAAATGTTATTATACAACTTCTGCGTACTTGGATGACAAAAACCCGTGGTAGTAGCGTTTAGCTCATGGAGGTAGTCTCGATCTCTGATATTTGAAAACAGAAAAAAATATATTGTAAATGTTGAATGCGTACAAATGTTATTTACAAAGAGCAACCCCTAGAGTTTCTTGCTCATTCTTCTCGGGGGAATCTGCCTTACGAATGAGCGGTAGAGTTTAACCAATGTGATGATTTCAAGTGTAATAATGCTTACGAATGAAATAAACATTGTCTAGATTTTGATATGTACATACCATTCCATGAGATAACAAAAGTGTTTGTCTACAATTTGAATTCACGTGCTGTTAAAAATGTACTTTAAATTATTTGAATTTTTATTTATAATACCAGTGACGGAATGAACAAGCCGTGCGCCTATTAGCAAGGGACACGCCTATCTTTAACGGTTGCAGTGCCACTCAGAGCTTTAAATTTCAAAGATCTTTAAGGGCACTGCCACTGCGCCCGTCACTTTGAAACATAAGTAGACAAGTGCCCGTAATTTCACCAGCACCCTTACCGGAACCGGAACACAGTATTTTTTTACAATTACAGATAACCTGATTTCTTTTTAATTTATTGGAAGACGAAAGTCTATCTTACAGAACAAAAAATTAAATAATAATGCGAAACCAATTTATTACAGGTTCTCACCAATAGACACACGTTAATTTGAAATTAATAACTATATAACTAGTTAATATACCATTACAAATTCGCAACACTTGTAAAATAAATGCCTACTCGAATAATGCATTATAATGCTTACAATACTGCTTGGCGGCAGAAATAGGTAAGGTCTGGACTGACTGTGAACTTTTTCACAAGGTCTTCAGCTACTAAAAATTTAAGTTGTTGGTATCATTAAAACTTACAGATATTTTGGTAGAGTTTCAGAGTCTTTAATTACGCTTTGAGAACTCTGCCTATAAACTCTACAACTGTTGATATTTCTGCAGTGTCCCAAAGCGAATTCAATTGCTCTGGTATTCATAGTATAAGGAAGAAGCTCATAACATAATGGTGTGCTTTGTTTTACTTAATTTTATTGTACGCTATAGGAGGAAAGAAATATTATCTTGTATTTTGTAAGCAAATACTTTGTTTTGTTTCATACATAATGTATAAATGTCAAATTTTACCTTGTATTCAATAAATAAATCCCTAACGTTATCTTGTATGCTATAAGCACTACGAAATCAATTTTAACTTGTACGCAATGTATGTAATATTTTGCTGAGGTTACCATAACTTTGATTATATTACGTAGAAGCTACATCGCACGCGCATGTGCGTAATTAATTTTATATAAAAACTTTTAATTTAACACAGCTTAATACGTCACAATTTACGCTACTATAGTAATGATTGTAACATAGTGATTCATGGAATTTTGAACTCTGTGACGTAGGCAATTCGTTATTCGTCCCATTTTACCTTATAAGGGCAATACAATATACGTACAAGGAATCCCCTTTTTTTCCTGTACTAGCAACGCTACTCCCCCTCTTCTCAGCAGTATACCCTTCTATTATAAGATTCCTGTTGATAATCAAAACTTGCCATTTACTTGAATTAAAAGTGCGTTATGGAAATTTTATATAGTATAAATTTTTTAACTCAAATTCATTTATTCTCAGACCAATTAGTTCATATTTGTTACTAACAATCTTATAAGCTAAGTTAGTAGAAACAAGAAGAACAATAACAATACACGAAATTAAATTACATTATTATTATTATAAATACATTGTTATATGTTCACGTGTAACTAAAAAAAAAGCCGTGATAGCCTAATGGTCGTGGGTTCGAATCCGGACTCGCACCTCTGAGTTTCACGGAACTTATGTTGCCATGAGCTTTTCGGTGATGATACCTGCACGTCGAAGAAAGTGCACAACCCTCGGAAAGCGTGTGAAGTCCCCAACCCGCAATGGCGAGCGTGGCGGACTATGGCCTAAACCCTCGTCTGAAAGGAGACCCGTGCCCAGCAGTGGGACGTATAAACGGGTTGATGATGATTATGATGATGACGTTCACGTGTAACTCGGTGAACCTCCGGAGAACAGCCGAGTCCATTCTTCCTGATATCCTCACGATACCATAGGTGATCCCACGCAATCGCAACGTCTATGGCGCAGTTTTTTGCGCATGCGTGCGAAAAAATCATTAACATACGCATCCGCAAGCATGCCAGAGGCGCTACAAAAGCGAGGAAGCCTCAGCAGAACCCTAAAGATGTTATTGTAATTTTTTATTGTTTTATTGAAATTCAATTCAATTGTTTATTAAAATCGGTTACCGGAAAGTGCGCGAAACTGGATTCATCCCCTAGTTTGCCACCCTTAAAGGTGAAATATTTCCTTAAAATTTATATAGAACTAATACTGGGATATCCTCTTTACAATAAAAAAGAATCATCTAAATCGGTTGATAAAAAAGTCGGAGTAATCACGTAAAACACACAAAAAAAGCAGTCGAATTGAGAACCTCCTCCTTTTTGAAAGTCGGTTGAGAATGATCCGTTAACTTTTACAGAACTCGTGTGTAACATTCATAAAGCGTGTCTAATCAATTTGACGATTTTAAGTTTATATTTGTTTTTACAGGAAAAGTTCCAAAAGATCAACGTTTTCGATCTCATTTTCTAACATTTTCATATTGTTTTATTTCTAAATACCCATGTATTTGTACTCAAAAGATGCGTAATTTAAGGCTCTACAAATTTGTAAACACAGACACAACTCACAAAAGGACTGTTTAGCTCAAAAGTTAACCACGAAAGTGCAGAATGCCAAATAGGCATTTGCGTAATTCCGTTGTTTATAATGCCAAATACTGTCTTCGGGTAGTATTATAGTTTGACCGTTTTTAAACACATTTTTGCAATAAAAACATTTTTGAATTTATTTTTGATGCGACGGTTTAGCATTTAAGCGACGATATCTCACCATTAGTGTATTATGGCCACATTTGTAAAATTACAATTTTCCAGCAGAGAAGTTTAAAGATTCTACCTACAAAGTTGTCGATTACTTTTTTAAGCTTTAATAATAAAGCTACATTATGTTTTTCCATGTATTTCGTATAATTTTTAAGTCTTTCATGTTTGAGTAGTAGCAGAGCTCTTTGTGAAAATTTATTAATAATAAATCTTTGTGATAATTACCAGGCACATAGGACTTTTAGTCTTGTCTCAGTGGTACGAGCCATGGTTATGGCTTATGACTACGGGCTCGTACCCCTGAGACACGATAGATACGCTATCATGGAAGTCTCTAGTAGACACGGATTTGGGTATGGACTGGCCGGGATTTGTGGTGAGCTGCAGAGACGGACAAGTTCGTCTGCTCCGGAGCTGTGCGGCCGCCGGCCGGGGCGTCTGTCTAAGACGAGAAGTTCGCGGGACACGTGAGTTGCCCTTTAAGTTGGAAGCTATATCCAGACATTATCGCAGGACACTGCGACTGACATCTCCGGTACTAGCCCAGAGAGCTAACAGAGGATGAGCTAGACATTGTCCTGTCCCTCCAGTCGCGTAGGTTTCTGGGTACTTTAGTAGTAGTGCTCCGTGTGAAAGAGTTCATCCAGGGTAGTACTCCCACCCTACCTATTTCTGCCGGCAAGCAGTAATGTCGGCATTACTGTATTTCGGTGTTGAAGGGTAAGGGTGC